AATTGACGTTCATTGTAGCGAAATAACTGATTCTCCTGCTTTCGTTTCATATCAGCTTTGTATCTGCGCATTCGACCCGCAAGGGCCAGAAGTTCCAATTTCTTTGTTCCTAGAAGTGAAGCAGCAGCGTGCCGAGTTCCCACAGGGTAGCGCTCGTACATCTGCGGGTTGTCAGATGCCAGGTAGCTTGTCAGTCTAGAGACATCCTTCCGAAGGGCGTCAACCTTTCGCTGTAACCGGCGTTGCCAACCCGGAACCTCCGGCTGCGGCGGACTCATGCGCGCTGCCGGAACCGGCGGGATACCACAAACCAGTAGGGTGAGAACAGCAGCAGCATACGCAACATGACTCAAGAACTCTATGGACAGGTCAAACTCACTAGCAGCAACCAGCTGACGGATGCCACAGTTGATTTTTGCGACAGTAGCTGAAAGACGGAGGTATGGGATTTTCCTGGGGACTGCAAGCTTTGGCCTCTCATCAACACCCAAACGCTGTACACTGGCTACCAGCCCACCAAGGACCCTACCAGTGTCTTCCACCACAGCAGCCTTGATACATACACAGATATGCTTGACCGCCCACACGAGCTGTTTGTCATTAGAGTCAATGATACCAGCACTACATGCATTAGCTAGGCAAGCAGATAAGCTACGATTAGTCTGTGCTCTGCAGTCTGTGCAAGGGCCCTCCGCAGTGCACGACACACCACCAGATCCAATGTCCGCAGCGCCAAGTGCATCAGCATGCAAGGCAGGAACGTGTTTATTATTTTTATTATTATTATTATTATTATTATTATTATTATTATTATTATTATTATTATTATTATTATTATTATTATTATTATTATTATTATTATTATTATTATTATTATTATTATTATTATTATTATTATTATTATTATTATTATTATTATTATTATTATTATTATTATTATTATTATTATTATTATTATTATTATTATTATTATTATTATTATTATTATTATTATTATTATTATTATTATTATTATTATTATTATTATTATTATTATTATTATTATTATTATTATTATTATTATTATTATTATTATTATTGCTAGTTTGTACGTGAAGTGTGTGGGTTACAGTGAGGGCTGCGTCCCACCCGCCTGTGTGGATTCACAGGAAGTGTGAGTTACGAAGTCTGAAGAAAATGTTGAAGGGCCTCTGCTGGGATGACGACTACACCATAGCTCAGTGGTTAGAGCATCGCTGGCTACAAGCGAGGGTCCCTGGTTCGAGTCCTGGTGGTGACAGTCAATTTTTTCTTCAGACTTTTCCCGTTTGTCTCTTTCCCTCAAACCAGTTAATATTATTATTATTATTATTATTATTATTATTATTATTATTATTATTATTATTATTATTATTATTATTATTATTATTATTATTATTATTATTATTATTATTATTATTTGAAACTCGGACCTCCCTTCCCCTCTTTGGTCTTTTCCATAACCTTGAACCTTCCAAGTTGGAAGGCTGTCGGTTAGCGCTACGGAGATGTGTTGAAGCTAGGTGTCAGGACGTCGAATGTTTCAGTACTCTGTCAGTTTTGTGCCTAGTTATTGCACTTTCTGACTGTATATAGTATCATGTTACAGTGATGGAGAGTTACTCTTAACTCGTATCCATATGTCCTTTTCTCTTCCACAATTATTATTATTATTATTATTATTATTATTATTATTATTATTATTATTATTGTAAAAGAGAAAAGGACATATGGATACGAGTTAAGAGTAACTCTCCATCACTGTAACATGATACTATATACAGTCAGAAAGTGCAATAACTAGGCACAAAACTGACAGAGTACTGAGACATTCGACGTCCTGACACCTAACTTCAACACATCTCCGTAGCGCTAACCGACAGCCTTCCAACTTGGAAGGTTCACGGTTATGGAAAGACCAAAGAGGGGAAGGCAAGCGCAACGAACACGAGCAAAAGCTACAGTCCCAACGGAACAAAGAATGTCGATTGTTACTGGACGATGACGAGAGACCAGTACGATATTTGACAAAGTCAACTAGTCCATCACAATGTCATGCATGAGGAGTACTGTAGGAGTTTGGCTTTCGGCTTGTACAATTCGTTTTCGCAAAGCTTCCCTTTCTTTACTTATCTTTGATATTTATGACCCACCCAAGTTGGGTGGTGTGCTGCTTTGCTGCTTCGAATTGTAGTTAGACCGCTTTGTCAAATATCGTACTGGTCTCTCGTCATCGTCCAGTAACAATCGACATTCTTTGTTCCGTTGGGACTGTAGCTTTTGCTCGTGTTCGTTGCGCTTGCCTTCCCCTCTTTGGTCTTTCCATAACCGTGAACCTTCCAAGTTGGAAGGCTGTCGGTTAGCGCTACGGAGATGTGTTGAAGTTAGGTGTCAGGACGTCGAATGTCTCAGTACTCTGTCAGTTTTGTGCCTAGTTATTGCACTTTCTGACTGTATATAGTATCATGTTACAGTGATGGAGAGTTACTCTTAACTCGTATCCATATGTCCTTTTCTCTTTTACATTTATTTGTGGCTCAACATCCGAGTTTCAAATTGCACACCTGATGAGCCGTCACGAACCATACGGCGAAACGTACGTCGTGTGAAACAACTTGTTTTGTAGTCAACTAGTCCATCACAATGTCATGCATGAGGAGTACTGTAGGAGTTTGGCTTTCGGCTTGTACAATTCGTTTTCGCAAAGCTTCCCTTTCTTTACTTATCTTTGATATTTATGACCCACCCAAGTTGGGTGGTGTGCTGCTTTGCTGCTTCGAATTGTAGTTAGACCGCTTTGTCAAATATCGTACTGGTCTCTCGTCATCGTCCAGTAACAATCGACATTCTTTGTTCCGTTGGGACTGTAGCTTTTGCTCGTGTTCGTTGCGCTTGCCTTCCCCTCTTTGGTCTTTCCATAACCGTGAACCTTCCAAGTTGGAAGGCTGTCGGTTAGCGCTACGGAGATGTGTTGAAGTTAGGTGTCAGGACGTCGAATGTCTCAGTACTCTGTCAGTTTTGTGCCTAGTTATTGCACTTTCTGACTGTATATAGTATCATGTTACAGTGATGGAGAGTTACTCTTAACTCGGATCCATATGTCCTTTTCTCTTTTACATTTATTTATGGCTCAACATCCGAGTTTCAAATTGCACACCTGATGAGCCGTCACGAACCATACGGCGAAACGTACGTCGTGTGAAACAACTTGTTTTGTAGTCAACTAGTCCATCACAATGTCATGCATGAGGAGTACTGTAGGAGTTTGGCTTTCGGCTTGTACAATTCGTTTTCGCAAAGCTTCCCTTTCTTTACTTATCTTTGATATTTATAAGTTGGGTGGTGTGCTGCTTTGCTGCTTCGAATTGTAGTTAGACCGCTTTGTCAAATATCGTACTGGTCTCTCGTCATCGTCCAGTAACAATCGACATTCTTTGTTCCGTTGGGACTGTAGCTTTTGCTCGTGTTCGTTGCGCTTGCCTTCCCCTCTTTGGTCTTTCCATAACCGTGAACCTTCCAAGTTGGAAGGCTGTCGGTTAGCGCTACGGAGATGTGTTGAAGTTAGGTGTCAGGACGTCGAATGTCTCAGTACTCTGTCAGTTTTGTGCCTAGTTATTGCACTTTCTGACTGTATATAGTATCATGTTACAGTGATGGAGAGTTACTCTTAACTCGTATCCATATGTCCTTTTCTCTTTTACATTTATTTATGGCTCAACATCCGAGTTTCAAATTATTATTATTATTATTATTAAGAAATGGTTTGCTCCCCACACCGGAGCTCGCGCTATTCCGCCGACTTTACTTGACACTTGACTGACTCACGACTGCCATCCAGAGCACACGAGAAGTCCATCGAACCTTCGACTCGGCAAACCTGCAAGAAAGCACCACTCCCTGCTCAATACACAGTGTTTCGGGGAATTCACCCCTCATCAGTTGAGCTTGAGTAGGCTGAGGAAGATTGTGCCTGAAGAGCACCACTTATATAGTGCTCTCCAGGCACAAACATCACCAGGGATGCAAACTTACAGAGACGCTCCGTTTCAAGCGCGACAAACACCTCGTGAACACCAGATAGCAGCGTGAGTCAGTGTCGCTCCTGGACGGTGAGACAGACGTCGAGGACCCTCGGTCATTCGCAACGCTGTCACCTCCAAACCAACTAGTCGCAAGCCCGCGCTGGGCACAACAGTACGAAGTAGTGGTTGCGACTTCGGCGATGATTTGTAAGAAATGGTTTGCTGTCAAGTGTCAAGTAAAGTCGGCGGAATAGCGCGAGCTCCGGTGTGGGGAGCAAACCATTTCTTACAAATCATCGCCGAAGTCGCAACCACTACTTCGTATTATTATTATTATAGGCTTTTCCGCGTTGGCATCGCCAAGCAAGCTTGGCTAGCCTTCGCATAAGCTGCTCCATAATGATGAAACGATACAATGAATGCATGTATATACGATCTAGGACAGAACCAAGGTTGAGGATATTTTTGAAGAAAGCTGCAAGTTGTGTTGAGGAACACAATGTTGCAAACGCTACGAAAGTAAACTGCAAGAAATTTGTTGGGGTTGTTCTCATGATTATTGTAGTCACAGGTTGTGTTAGTAGCATTAAAGGTTGTGTTTTCACAGATATATCGTTTACATTCCTATTCTTTTACAGGATAATATTTTCACGCGATTACGCGATTACTCCTCTCGCTATCGTATTATCACACCTCTCTCCACTTAGATATACCAGCGCTGCCTCCTATTCCATTATCGTTGTCTGATGATTGGTTCAGCCATGAAACTCTGAGTCACAACGGAATTGATTTGCCAAGGTTTTCATTGTGTGCCTTTGTGTCTTTTGTATAAGAAATAATAAACCCCTAGTCATAACTCGTAACAGGTTGTTTTTCTCCTCTGAGACGCCAAATAGAGTTATACGAAGTTCTTCCAGGAAGTGATAAATATCCTATCAAAATTATACTTTGTTGTCCCAGAGATTTGAAAGACAATCAACTTTTTCACCTACCTGCCGGGCTATTCAGCGCCACAACCAAATTACAAAAGCTGTAAGTCATGTTGTGCATGTATCGTAAAAAGGCGTTTTTTGGCGTAGTTCTGTTCTTTTGAGATGTAGTAAATGAGATTTTGGAATTTGGCATTTCGCTAATTGATCTCATGCACCCTCCCCCACCCTTTATGACCTGAATCTGACGCCGCTTGTGGAAGACCTTTCCAGGTAGAACTCCATGTTGGAAGCAAAGAGCTGAGATAGCGTCTTTACAATTTCCCTGGCGCATTCCTTCAAGACAGGAGCGGAAACACCGTCGGGTCCAGTCGCCTTTGAGGAATTCAAGACGAGCTAGAAGCCTGTGGACTGCATTGGGACAAAAGTGAACTGTCGTTAGGGGCCGTCCGGGGTTACCGATTGTTTTTACAAAACGAAAAGTTTTAGTATATTTCAGCCCCCACCCACCCACCCACCATCCCTGCAGGTAAAACGAATTCCAATAAAATATTGATGTCAATTTTCGACATCCAGAAGTAACTGGGCATTCTCCATCAGCATTCAATAATTATTTTCAAAACGAAACTCCATCAAACCCACCCACCCACAAACGAAAACATTTCGTTTTGAAAATATTACTGGTAACCTTGGACGGCCCATTAGTGCATGTGAGCCAGTGAATGCTGTGTTCAGTAAGTCCATCGTAGTAAATTCGAGGCCCTGTTGTTGGAAGAGACACGTTAGAAAGCCTCCGAGTTCTCATAACTTGTGGCTCTCTCGCAACCTTTAGTGGCTCGTTCCTAAATTTAAAACTAGTCCTTTGAGCATCCTTCTGCGCAGGTTTGGAGTAGAAATATTATGAAATATTATTATTTGTTGCCCTTCGCGGATTCGAACCTCCCCGTATAAACTTTTTCTTCTTCTTTTCCGGTCGCGGTTTTTGACAAGAATAGCTTCTTTAATCAACTCAAAAGGTATGTACTTGTGGCAACAGAAACATGGAACTTGGCAGCCACTTTTTCATCAATCAAAGGAACATCTTTACCAAATTTATAGGAAATTCATAAAGCAGTTTCAATTTACCTGTCCAACTTCATGGAAATTTTGGTGCCTATCTGAAATGTATATGTGCCATAAAAAAATACACATTGTGCACATGTCACAGCATGTGTGGTATCAATGACACTAAGGATTGGTTCATACGGCAAGCGCAAACACTAGCACTTGTACAACTTTGAGGGCGTCAAGGGCCGCATCAGTACTGGGCGCCAGCAAGAGTACATAAACAAGTGTGTGCAACTCCAGCTATGGGGTCTGCGACGGCAGAACTTCACATCACGTGATGAACCCGTGCACTCTAGTGCATGATAGATACTGGGTTGTACGCAGCCCAGCTTTGGGAACAACTCTCTTGTGGTCACTTTGCACTGTTTGCCAGCATAACCTTTTGAACCATGTCACGTGATGTGAAGTTCTGCCGTCGCAGCACAGCATAGAGGTTGTGCAGGCAGTTGCACACTCTTGGGTTATGTACTCTTGGCTACTACTACTGAGAACGTTGACTTTATTTGATAACAAACTGGGTGCCGGAATGAAGAATTCAAAAAACGGAAGCAAAGAAAGCAATGGTGACAAATCCAATCAAGTATATCGTAGATAGGAAAATCAAATCAAATAAATCGGAAAATCCAATAAGAAAATAAAATAAAAGAATCAAGTCAACTTTCGAATACCAAAACAAAGAGTAAACCCTACTACTACTACTACTACTACTACTACTACTACTACTACTACTACTACTACTACTACTACTACTACTACTACTACTACTACTATTACTACTACTACTACTACTACTACTACTACTACTACTACTACTACTACTACTACTACTACTACTACTACTACTACTACTACTACTACTACTACTACTACTACTACTACTACTACTACTACTACTACTACTACTACTACTACTACTACTACTACTACTACTACTACTACTACTACTACTACTACTACTACTACTACTACTACTACTACTACTACTACTACTACTACTACTACTACTACTACTACTACTACTACTACTACTACTACTACTACTACTACTACTACTACTACTACTACTACTACTACTACTACTACTACTACTACTACTACTACTACTACTACTACTACTACTACTACTACTACTACTACTACTACTACTACTACTACTACTACTACTACTACTACTACTACTACTACTACTACTACTACTACTACTACTACTACTACTACTACTACTACTACTACTACTACTACTACTACTACTACTACTACTACTACTACTACTACTACTACTACTACTACTACTACTACTACTACTACTACTACTACTACTACTACTACTACTACTACTACTACTACTACTACTACTACTACTACTACTACTACTACTACTACTACTACTACTACTACTACTACTACTACTACTACTACTACTACTACTACTACTACTACTACTACTACTACTACTACTACTACTACTACTACTACTACTACTACTACTACTACTACTACTACTACTACTACTACTACTACTACTACTACTACTACTACTACTACTACTACTACTACTACTACTACTACTACTACTACTACTACTACTACTACTACTACTACTACTACTACTACTACTACTACTACTACTACTACTACTACTACTACTACTACTACTACTACTACTACTACTACTACTACTACTACTACTACTACTACTACTACTACTACTACTACTACTACTACTACTACTACTACTACTACTACTACTACTACTACTACTACTACTACTACTACTACTACTACTACTACTACTACTACTACTACTACTACTACTACTACTACTACTACTACTACTACTACTACTACTACTACTACTACTACTACTACTACTACTACTACTACTACTACTACTACTACTACTACTACTACTACTACTACTACTACTACTACTACTACTACTACTACTACTACTACTACTACTACTACTACTACTACTACTACTACTACTACTACTACTACTACTACTACTACTACTACTACTACTACTACTACTACTACTACTACTACTACTACTACTACTACTACTACTACTACTACTACTACTACTACTACTACTACTACTACTACTACTACTACTACTACTACTACTACTACTACTACTACTACTACTACTACTACTACTACTACTACTACTACTACTACTACTACTACTACTACTACTACTACTACTACTACTACTACTACTACTACTACTACTACTACTACTACTACTACTACTACTACTACTACTACTACTACTACTACTACTACTACTACTACTACTACTACTACTACTACTACTACTACTACTACTACTACTACTACTACTACTACTAGTGACAAGCCTCTTTTACGGGCAAAATAGCGGAAACGTGAAATCGTAAATCATTGAAGATCAATTCAATTAAAAAAAAAAAAACTCCTTTAAATAACGTCAAATCAATTAGTAAATCCAATGTCAAATCCAATGTCAAATCCAATGTCAAAAGAAGAAAACTTTAAACTCAAAGTGAAAATTAAAGTAACAGGTCCCGTCATGTATGCAAGTCTAAGCCAATGTCAATATAAATTACCTACTACTACTACTACTACTACTACTACTACTACTACTACTACTACTACTACTACTACTACTACTACTACTACTACTACTACTACTACTACTACTACTACTACTACTACTACTACTACTACTACTACTACTACTACTACTACTACTACTACTACTACTACTACTACTACTACTACTACTACTACTACTACTACTACTACTACTACTACTACTACTACTACTACTACTACTACTACTACTACTACTACTACTACTACTACTACTACTACTACTACTACTACTACTACTACTACTACTACTACTACTACTACTACTACTACTACTACTACTACTACTACTACTACTACTACTACTACTACTACTACTACTACTACTACTACTACTACTACTCTTCCTCCTTCTCCTCCTCCTCCTGCTGCTGCTGCTGCCACCGCCACCGCCACCGCCACCGCCACCGCCACCGCCACCGCCACCGCCACCGCCACCGCCACCGCCACCGCCACCGCCACCGCCACCGCCACCGCCACCGTCACCGTCACCGTCACCACCACCACCACCACCACCACTACTACTACTACTACTAGTGCTGTACAGACGGTGGCAGTATAGTGTGGAGTTTACTAGTGTAGAGCACAAAAAGCAGTGGCCCAAGGGCGCTACCTTGGGGAACATCATGGGAGAAATTGACGGCTTCACTGCTAAAGTCGAGAACTTTGACACTCTGGAAACGCCCTGAGACGTAGTCAGCGACCCAATCCAGGCCGTTCCAGCTATACAAAGGGAAAACAAAACTGTAACTAGACGTTCATGCACATCGGAGTGTTTCTGCGATTGTTTCAATGGACAGCTGGGAGTTTTCTCTTCGACCTACATAATTTCGGTTTTGGAAATAACCCAGAAATGACTGAGTTACGATCGATTGAAAATTTGAAAAGTTTCGATCCCATGGGATCGAAAGTTGCACAGTCCGTACACAAAGGGTTAACACGGTCGAAGGCTTTCGACATATCAACAAACACTGTCCCAGTGAACTCTCGTTTGCGGCTAGCGGTTGACCATAGATTAACAGCTATCACAAGTGCATCCTCAGTCGAATGTTGCTTGCTATAAGCAAATTGGCTGTCGGGCAATAGCTGGTGTGCCTCCAGATAGACAGTGAGCTGGACGATAGTTCTGGGGCAGGGTTCGGTTGCCACACATTGGACTGAAATGTGACACTTTGAAGGTTGGTGGAACCTGTCAAGTTCCAATAGACAAATTGATAATGCTGGTGAGATTCGATGCAAGAACAGAGGCATCTTCATGTGAAACTGGCTGGAAATTGGATAGGGATGTCTCCAATGCTGGCCCTGCGAGTCGCTGAAGGTTCAATGTCCGAGCTGGGTCATGGACAATACTACCAA